AGCTCATAATCATCTCCCTCTATGTGAGCTAAAATATGACACCCAATTAATTTTGAATAAAATTATGTAAGAGGCAAAATCATCTCTTAAATCCACAACATTACACCTTGCATAATATATATGAGTCCAAAAATGCGCTATACAATTTTGCACGTGGACTCCACTTGAAGCCCTATTGGTAATATGGTGTAACATGTTAAGGCAACCTATGTATTGGTGACAATGAAACACTTCCCCTTACATGGCTATGGAAAAATATATCCAAAATAAATAAATAATTACAACACAAAAGAATCATAATATATTGATTCTAACAAAAAAATAATAATAATAACTTGGGGAAGCTACTTCACTAATATATTTGTGGGGTCTATCTTTAACAATACAAAAATAAATAAATAAACATGTGCATAAAAATTACCAACATTACCTCAATTCATCAAAACATACATCAATAATAAATGAATGACCAAATGATAGAGGTCAAAGTACAATTCCTACTAAGGAAAAGAATATAGTCATGAAAAATTAGGACTCAAAAAACACATATTAGTTCTCAACTAATATATATTAAAAAATCAATAAATTAATTTCACAATTTAATAGAACAAAAATAAATGTTAAAACAACCAAAAAGGAATTAACAAATTATGCATGATAATTGATAAAACAGAAAAAGAATTTTCAGAATTTTTTAAATCTTTCTGCAATTTTCAGAATTATATTTCTAATTTTTTGTAATTTTCAAAATTAAAAAATATAAACAAATGAGAATATATGAAGATAATTCAAAAATAAATAATTTGAGGACTCATAGCCAAATAGAAAAATAGAACATGTAGTGAGGATTCCCACGCGCAACGAGTGTAATACACGCGCCTCGGGACACGGGCCATGCGCCTTCACGTGCTTTGGCTATTGGTCTACACGTGTGGAACGTGCAGGTGCATCCACATGCGCCACGTGGCAACCTTGACGTGTGCACTTGTGCATGCTGATTATGTCAGCTACACGTAGTGTAATAATGTCATCGCGCTGATGTCATGCCTTGTGCTGAGGCCAACAATGATACATCCCACTAATTTGGGAGCACTAATGGATCACTAATGAGGTGGAAATTCAAAAAAAAAAAAGAAAAAAAAAGAACTTAAGGCCAAAACATCACATCAGTCAGTGGGACCCACTCTATAGAGCTCCTTTAGTGCTCCTAATTTAGAGCTCCCAATCATTTTTCGTGCTGAGGCGCACTGCGCCGGTCCTAGCCGCGTTGAGTCAACTTCCACGCTCTGCTGACGTCATGATGACATCAGCCTTCGACTTTCAAAATCTCCGTTTTTCTCAAAATTTATCAGAAATAGCGATTTTGGCCCAAAAATCTTTGAAAAGCCATAATGTTTTAATTTAACTTCGATTAAAACCCATTTTATATGGATGGAAAGCTCACAAAGAGTACTTTCAAAATATGTAACTTTCAGTCACCAAAAAAAATAAAAAATTTATACTACTTTTTGAGATAAAAATATATGCTCTAATGGAGTTTTAGCAAAATTAGAGTTTTCAAAATATTTTTCAACATGCCATGGTATTCAACAATGTTTAATCATATAATATTAAATTAAACATGAATAAATCTAATCTATGGCATGCAAATCATGAGGCGAAAACAAGAAATCATGTCTCTGATACCAATGAAGGAAAAAGATATAGGTAATCATATTACTTGAAGTGGAAACAGTTTAGATCGGATGTTTGAATTATGAGCCTCGTCTAGAAAATCCTTTGTCAATTAAGAAGCTACTAGAATTTCTTAATGTATTATCCACACTCCAAATCCCTAGGTTCTATAATAGTGACCTAAGAGGGAAGAACAGAGAGAAATATTTTGTAGAGATTTTTCAGGTAAACTCCCACAACAATAATACGTCTATTATTTTCTCTATATCAGATATATAGTGATTCTCTGCTGATAGAGGGGGAGTTGTAGTCCCCCACAAAAACTCAAACACCTCTTTAGATAATTCTCTTAATTATAAATCATGTGAATTATCAATAACCCTTGTGGACGCTCCATGGGTTATGAATCGGGTCCAATCCAACCTAATTTCCAACGGTATACATATAGCCAAAAATCTTATGCGGTTGATTACCTTTTAAGAAAGAACAAAACTCATCAACAAATAGAGGAAACAAAAATATAAAATAAAATAAAAAAGAGGAGCATAATGTTTTATTTCTCCTAATAAACTTCATCGGTTTATGAATCAGCATTCAAGAAATTAGGATGAGAACATGTGGCCCTTGGGCACTACAAGAAAATCCAGCTTTGGCGACTAAAAAATGAATTTTCGTCGCTGAAAGTAGGACAATCGGCGACTAAAATGGAATTAGTCGCCAAAAGTGTTCACTTTTGGCGACTAAGACAATTTAGTAGCCAAATGCATAGTTATTGGCGACTAAAATCAATTTCGTAGCCAAAAGTAAGGGTTTTGGCGACTAAAATTCAGTTTAGTCGCCAAAAGTGCAGATTTTTTGCTACTAAAAAAAATTAGTAGCTAAAAGGAAGAGTTTTGGCTACTAAACCTGACTTTAGTCGCCAAAAGTGCTGTTTTTGGCTACTAAAAAAAATTAGTAGCTAAAAGGAAGAGTTTTGGCTACTAAACCTGACTTTAGTCGCCAAAAGTGCTGTTTTTGGCTACTAAAAAAAATTAGTAGCTAAAAGGAAGAGTTTTGGCTACTAAACCTGACTTTAGTCGCCAAAAGTGGCTGTTTTTGGCTACTAAAAAAAAATTAGTAGCTAAAAGTAGAGGTTTTGCCGACTAAAACTGACTTTAGTCGCCAAAAGTGCTTACCCTATTTTTTTTTGTAAATATTTTATTTTTTACATAAAATATATTAAATAAAAAAAATTATTTTCATATATACAATTTTGTATTAATACCAATGAATATAGTATATAAATAATATTTGTTGCAATAATATTCATGTGAATTGGGAGTGGCGTAGTGGGTGAGCATGTGTTGGTAAAGGCGCAGTGGGTGCAAGTGTTGGGACACAGGTTCGAACCTTGGGGAATCCAGCAGAGGGATTTTTTTTTTTTTCTGAAATAGTCTTTTGGCGACTAAAAGAGTTTAGTCGCCGAAAGGTGTACCTTTTGGCGACGAAAATCTTAGTCGGGAAATGTTTAAATAATAAATTAAAAAATCACTATTGGCGACTAAAAATTTAGTCGCTAAATGTATAATTTCAAAAAATGGAATTGCATTTGGCGACAATTTGTTTCGTCGCTGAAGACCTGTGAATTGGCGACTAACAGGTTTTTAGTCGCCAAAGGCATTGCCGACCATGGATTCGCGACAACAGTGGCGACTAAAAGTTTTTGTCGGGGAAAGTAAAAATTCGACCTTTGGCGACTAAAAAAGGACCTTTGGCGACTAAAAATTTAGTCGCCAAAGGTGTATTTTGTTGTAGTGGGGATACGAAGAATAAAATAGTAACCACTAGCTTCGGCTGGTAGGGATCCCAATTCATTCCAGCCCCTCCCTGTCACACGAGAGGATTTGGAAACCTCGTGTTTATTTGTGTGTGATGCAATGATATGCAGATACTATATATGATTGGCCCCTGCAAATTTTTTTACCGCAACAAAAACATAATCCTTTCCACATAAAATAGAGTTGAGCCTCGTCTAAGGATAACTCAAAAGACTTATAAAAGTGTGGCCCAGTAAGTAGTAGTTGCTAGTAGTTTTGATGGATTTTATTAATGTGTGTTTTAAAGCACATATTAAAAAGTTTTGTAATATTGTATATTTTGAATGAAAGTGTAATAAAAAAAAATGTATAATTTATCTCTTTCAACATATGTCTTAAAGGCATATGTTAACAATGCCTACTTTTATTAAACTAAAAAAAAATTAACTCTAAATTTGAATTTTATAATTTTTTTAAAATTTGACTACTTGGAGGTACATATTTTCGTTTTATTTCAACCATTGTAAAAAGCTTGTTGGCCAGTTGAATTTGTTTTTATAGCGCAATGAAATAATCAAATTATTTTAACCAATCTAATGGGATTTGTTTTCAAAATTTTAATGCTTCACTTGCTCATTATCTTAATAAATTTACACACTCTCTACTTCCTCTTCACCCTTGAAATGATCGAGGGATCGAGAAAGAGACCCACTCCTCTACCATTTCCTTCATCCTCACATTTGATTAGTTCGCTTGTTGCTCCATCTTCACCACAGACATCGTCGCCGTCCATTCCATCACTATTGAGTTTGCTTCAGATATGCTTCAAATCTTTTTTCTATTATTATTTGATGGTTTTCGCGACAACTGGAGCGGAGACAGAGGGAGATAGAGAGGGGAAAGGAGAGGGAAGGGGAACAATTGGTTTCAAAAGAAGATGGTGAGTTGAGAAGCCCCCAACCTAGATGAGAAAGTGGGAGTTTTTTAGGTAAATAAAGATTTTCTAGAGAAAATCTAGAAATGGATCACTGATCTTTCTGGGTTTGGTGATTGAAGATGAAGAGAACGGTAGAAATGACTTTTAATATTTTAATTTTATCTTAATTTAAAAAGAAAAATAGGCCCACTCTCAAATATGGTGAGTGTATTACAAATAGCTTGGACGGAAAAAGTAATAGTTACACTTTACTCCCAAACCACAAGAAGGGTAAGTGGTTATTTCTAAATGATTGGGGGTAAAGTACAACTAGTCTAAACCATAGGGATAAGGCGGATTTTGCCCAAAACTAAAAAAATTGTGATAATGATGATATATAACATAGCTGTTGATTTATGATTGCTTGTCACTCCAGTAAAGTGAACTATTCTATGTTATTTTAAATATTATTCAACAATTAACCATAATGCCATTGATTTGGTTCAACTTGAAACTGACTCCTCCTCCTCCTAGCGATGTTGCAATATTTTATTTTATTTTTATTTCCTAATGAATCGGGGTCATAATCTTTGTTTTAAAAAAAAAAATTGCAGTTGTTCTTGAGACAGCATTGAAGTATGTTTCATCTCTTCTGGATGCACCTGACACAAAAGGGAAGAAACCTCTCTCATATGCAGCATCCATAGGTTATGTTGATGGGGTTTGCTACATCCTGGACACATTTGTTGATTGCACATACCAAAGAGACGATGATGGGTCTTATCCCATTCATGAGGCATCGAGCCAAGGCCATATTGACGTTGTTAAGGAGTTTCTACGATGTTTTCCAGATTCAAGAGAGTTGCTAAATGAACGAGGACAAAATATTCTTCACGTTGCTGCTGAGAGTGGGAAAGCCAACATTGTTAGTTATATGCTTAAAGACCCTGAGCTTGAGATGCTTATCAATGACACAGACGAAGATGGAAACACCCCATTGCTTTTGGCCACAAAGAATGCTCATGCTGAGATAGTGAGCATTTTGACATGGGACAAGAGAGTTAGGTCAGAGATAGTGAATTGCGATGGCTTTACCGCTTTAGAAGTTGCTCTCGATTACGTGGGGTACCATCCTTCAATTCACCAGGTATTATTATTATTATAATTAATGATTCCTCTATACAATTTTTTTCATCTCAATTATATAGATTTGAACTGTAAAAATTGTGTAGATGTAGTGGTGCTATATTATTATTATTATCAAAAAATAAAAGTAGGGAAAAATTAAATATGGAACCAAAAAAAATATCATCATGAGAAATTGGCTCATTTAACTTGGTTCGGCCAATATAGCCTATGTCCACCGATCTTTCCTGTTTGTTTATTATATTATTACGTGATGAAGGGTTATTTTGGGCATGACTTAAAGCAACTCCAATCATATTTATTTTACCTAATTCCTTTTTTATTTGTGCACTCCAATGTTACTTTTTATTTACCTATCTATAGACACAAACTATTTAAAGACCTTCAAAAACTCTTCAAATGTAGTTGTTAAGCATAATGCTCAGGATGAGGCTCAAGCTAACTCTGCAACAGCTGCACCAGCAACACTAAAGCTCTGCAACAGCTTATAGTAGTCCAGCTCACCTAAAGGTTGCAAGTTGTTATTTTAATAGTTAGTTTGTTAGAACTAGAGTTAGATTGCAGTTATGGTTAGATTGCAGTTATGGTTAGGTTAGGAGGTTAGAAGGTAGTTATGGTTTCTCTATAAATACAAAGTTCTGTAATTCTATCTTGCATTTTGAATAAAAAGAGTCACATTCTCTTTATGGTATCAGAGCCATCAAGCTCTTGCGAGCAGAAATCCTTTGAGATATTGCTATGGCTTCTTCAAACCCTACACCTTCAAGCTCTTCTTTACCTGCAAATCTTACACTCTTAATTTCAAACCTGAATGCTTTTGTGCCTACGAAACTTGATTCAACCAATTATATTGTCTGGAAAAGTCAGATTCATAACATCTTGAAAGCTACAAAGCTTCTTGGATTTGTTGATGGTACTATCATATGTCCATCCTCTATTGTGATTGGCTCAAACAATCAAGAAGTTCTGAATCCAGATTACACACAGTGGATCACTATTGATTCACATCTGTTGAGTTGCATCACAGCTACATTGTCTTCGTCTCTCTACACTTCTGTTATTCATTGTCAGACTAGCCATGAAGTCTGGTCTGTTCTTGCCAAAAGGTTTACCTCTCTTTCGAGATCTCATATTCATCAGTTGAAAAATAAACTTAGTCGTATTGTTAAAAAAGGTTCAACAATGGAAGACTACTTGAATCAATTCAAGTCCATTTCAGATCAGCTTGCTCTAGCTTCAGCACCAGTTGATGATGAGGATCTGGTGCTCTTAGTTCTTAATGGTTTGCCAGCTGAATACAATGCTTTCAAGACCACCATTAGAGCTCGATCTGATCCTATTTCCATGGAAGATTTGTCTTCATTACTGTGTTCAGCGTCTATTCATATTGAGTCTTCCCTGAAACAGACTCATACAGCTGAAATTCCATTTGCTTATTCTGTAACAAGAGGAAACTATAAAGGAGGTAACAGAGGAGGTCATCGCGTTTCTTTTCGAGGCCGAGGTTCCTCTCCTAGAGGTTCAGAAGTTTTCAGAAGTTCAGAAGGTTCCAGAGGTTCAGAGAGTAATGGTCGGTTCCGAGGCAGTTCACAGCATGGTAGTCCTCTCAGAGGTAGTGGTCAATATCACAGAGGTCGGCCCAACTTTAATCCTAATAATGCTGTGGTTTGTCAGATCTGTGGAAAGCTGAACCATACTGCACTAGACTGCTGGTACAGAATGGATTCATCTTTTCAGAATAGTTCACAGAATAGTCCACATCAAACCTCCTTTATTCAAACCAGTCCCACAGCCTATATTGCTTCTGCCTCACCTTCATCTGTAGCATCCACACCTGCATCCTCTTCAAACTGGTTTCTTGACTCTGGTGCAACCAGTCATATGACTAATGATCTTGCTAATTTCTCCTCTTATCATCCCTATTCTGGACAAGATCAAGTTGCTGTCGGTGATGGCTCCACTCTACCTATCACTCACACTGGTAAGGGTCTTCTTCCCACACCGACATTTCCTTTTCACCTTCACAATCTCCTTTATGTTCCTTCTATCTCCTCCAACTTACTTTCCATTCATCAACTAACTAAGGACAACAATTGTACTGTTACTTTTGATTCTCATTCTTTTCTGATTCAGGACAAGGCTACTCAGAAAGTGCTGCATAGAGGATCTTATGCTCATGGCCTCTATCCCCTTTCTTCATCATCTTCTGCATCTTCTTCTTCACCAGCCTGCTTCTCCTGTACAAAGAAATCTGCTGCATCTAACTGTCCAAAGCAGTCTGCTGTATCCAACTGGCATTTCCGGCTGGGTCATCCTTCTTCTCAAAAATTTCAGCATGTTTTAGCACACAATAGATTCATGCATTCATCTCCTGTACATAAGTCCAATAATAACTCTACTCTGTGTGAATCCTGCTGTGTGGCAAAAAGTCATAGATTACCTTTTTGCTTGTCTAACTCTACTGTTAACAAGCCTTTAGCCCTTATTCACACAGATGTTTGGGGCCCCTTTTCAGCCTCTTATTCTGGTTATAAATACTATGTTCTCTTCATTGATGATTGTAGTAAGTTCACTTGGATTTTTCCTCTTCATTATAAAAGTGAAGTTTTTTCAAAATTTCTGGAATTTAAGGCCTTTGTTGAAACTCAATTTACTACTCATCTTCAAATTTTAAGAAGTGATAATGGGGGAGAATACCTTAGTCTTCCTTTTCAAACCTTTCTTAAACAAAAAGGTATTGTTCATCAATTAACATGTCCTCATACACCTGCTCAAAATGGTGTTGCAGAAAGAAAACACAGACATTTAATTGAAACCACTATCACTCTTATGCATCATTCTTCCATGCCATTGATTTACTGGTTTGATGCTCTTGCTACTGCAGTCTTCTTGATCAATAGATTACCTACTCTTAAGTTGCAAAATCATACACCATTTGAAGTTCTTTTTCATCACAAACCAGATTATCAGTTCTTAAGAGTTTTTGGTTGTAGGTGTTATCCTTGGTTAAAGCCTTATTCTTCTCATAAGCTCCAACCAAAATCTATTCCCTGCATCTTTCTTGGCTATCAACCATCTACTAAGGGCTATAGATGTCTTGACCCTCTTACTCAGAAGATCTATGTGTCTAGACATGTTGTGTTTGATGAATCTCTTTTTCCTTTTAAACAATCTTCCTCTAGCTTTCCTTCATCTATCTCCTCCTCTGTTCCTACTCTTCCTTCTTTAATTAATTTTTTCTGGACATCACTTCCTCCTAAATCTACAGTCATATCTCCGCTGGCTGCAGAGGCTTCTTCTATATCTGCAACAGCCACACCTACTCTGTCTGCAGCAACTCTTCCTACTTCTGCGGCTGTTCCTTCTTTGTCTCCATCAGCTTCTCCTTCAGCTTCTCCTTCATCTGTAGCCCCTTCCTCACTTCTGTCTGCTCCTCCTTCTTCTCAATTGCCTATTTCATCTCTCTACATTGATCTTCCTCCAATCTCTTCTTCTCATCCTCCTCCTCATCCTATGATCACTAGGTCCAAGAGTAAGAATCCTGTTGCTTCCTCTTCTTCCCTTTGTCTTCTTGCTTCTACAGATTCTGCAGATTCTACTGAGCCACAGAATTATCAAGCAGCTGCTCAGTCTCCAGCTTGGCAAGCTGCTATGTTAGATGAATATCAAGCTCTTCAAAACCAAGGTACTTGGTCTTTAGTTACTCTTCCTCCTGATAAACAAGCTATTGGCTGCAAGTGGGTATTTAGGCTCAAGAAAAACTCAGATGGTTCTATTGCAAGACACAAAGCTAGACTTGTTGCTAAAGGCTTTCTTCAAACTGAGGGTGTAGACTATCATGAAACATTTAGTCCTGTAGCTAAACAACCTACAATCAGGGTTCTCTTATGTCTAGCCCTTCATTTTCATTGGCCTATTAAGCAACTTGACATTTCAAATGCCTTTCTTCATGGCATTCTTGAAGAGGAAGTTTATATGCATCAACCTCAAGGTTTTATTGATGCTAAACATCCATCCCTTGTTTGTAAATTGCACAAGGCCCTCTATGGCTTAAAACAAGCTCCTCGAGCTTGGTTCTCCACTTTCTCTTCTTTTCTTCTTTCTCATGATTTTGTTCCTAGTCATTGTGACTCCTCTTTGTTTGTCAAACACACCTCTACTTCCATTACTGTTCTACTTGTTTATGTAGATGACATCCTTCTTACTGGGAGTGATCCTCTCTATATCTCTACTCTTGTTCAACATATGCACTCAGTTTTTTCCATGAAAGAGTTGGGTTTACTCAACTATTTTCTTGGTATCTCTGTTACTTCTTCTCCTTCAGGTTACATTTTGTCTCAGCCAAAATATGCTTCTGAAATTCTTGCAAAGGCAGGCATACATGATTGTAAACCATATTCTTCTCTCATGGCTACTAAGGTTGTTCTTCCTGAGATGGACTCTTCTTTTTCTCACCCTAGTCTTTATAGAAGCCTCGTGGGTGCTCTCCAATATCTTACACTTACCAGACCTGATCTCAGCTTTACAGTTAATTATCTGTGTCAATTTTTACAAAACCCTTTGAATAGTCATTTTTCTGCTGTTAAACGGCTCCTCAGATATCTCAAGGGTACCTTAAGTCATGGCTTGCATTTCACCTCTGGCCCTCTTGTTCTCAATGCATTTTCAGACTCTGATTGGGCTGGCAGTGCTCTTGATAGACGGTCCACCACAGGTTACTGTGTGTTTCTTGGTCCCAATCTCATCTCTTGGTGTGCTAAAAAGCAACCAACAGTTTCCCGATCTTCATCTGAGGCAGAATATCGTGCTTTAGCTCAGGTATCTGCTGAGTTGAGTTGGCTTGGCATGCTTCTAGCTGAACTTCATGTCTCTGTGGCTGTTCCTACCTTATGGTGTGATAACTTGTCTGCAATTGCCTTGGCTCACAATCCAGTCTTCCATGCTAGAACTAAGCATATTGAAGTCGATTATCATTTTGTTCGTGAGAAAGTTGCTGCCAAGAAACTTGCTATTTGTCATATTGCGTCAACTGACCAAATTGCCGATATTCTCACAAAGCCTCTCTCAGTTTCCAGATTTCAATACCTTCAGGGCAAACTTCAGGTGTTTCCCACTTCTCTCAGTTTGCGGGGGACTGTTAAGCATAATGCTCAGGATGAGGCTCAAGCTAACTCTGCAACAGCTGCACCAGCAGCACTAAAGCTCTGCAACAGCTTATAGTAGTCCAGCTCACCTAAAGGTTGCAAGTTGTTATTTTAATAGTTAGTTTGTTAGAACTAGAGTTAGATTG